ATTTCTGTATCATTGAACTGCCGTAACACCCCCTTTGCTGTTGCTTTTCACCCCGTTTCTTGTTGAATGCCACCATTCGAATCACCCCAGAGTTCACATCGATCGGGGACGCTCATCCCAGCAGCTGATACATCGTTTCTCGAAAGGATGCCAGAATGTCATGATACCTATATGTCATACCTATGTCAGACGATTCAGATCAGGCAAAGTAGAACATACGTCAAATCAAATAGATGTCACACAGAATGTCATAGTCATGATCCAAATCACTCTTCAGACCCAAGGGAGTCAAGCCAGGGACAGGGATAGGAGCAAGTTATTCTTGTGCCACCGTCAAGCTCCGTCAAGCTGTCCAGACATGTGACGCAAAGCGAAAAAAAACTGTGGCAACACTTGGAGAATCAAACAAATGGTAACTGATGAATAGCGCTGGGTAACCAATTCCCCTCGTTTTCTTCGGGGGTTGTCTGAAATTCGCTGACCCCTAACCTAAATCCACTGGTCAATCATAATTTTCCCGTAGAAAATTTCGAAAACTTTTGGGGAATCTGTTGATATGTGGGTGAACATGCTTCTAAAAAAGGCACCATAACTCGTTGATATTCATTTCCCATCAAGCACATAACAATCGGCTACAACTATAATATATATATATATATATGTATATAAACAACATTATATAACCATGTTATGTTCATTTCCCATCAACTACTTAGTAAATCTTAATAATACCAGTTTGATTCCTCAGAAAACACTGAATCTATTATTCTACTTATTTTTATTGTTAAACTATTTAAACTAGTATGCTTATACTATCTTATTCTTATGTTATCTTATGTTCATGAATGATACAATCATATTTCATGATCGCTCCCAGCTCGTCGAGTCCGGTGACCTCGTTCTCTTCCGCGACTCGATCCAATCGGCTGGAGGTGGAGCCTGAAGGCTCAAGGATGGCATAAAAACAGCGGGAAAAAATGGGGAGGTGAAAACATGGCATAAAAACCATGATTCACTAAGCAAAATGGAGGTTTACCTAGCTTTCCAAGCAAAAAAAAACTTGATGAACTCACCAAAATGATCATGGAGGGGTTACACTGCTTGATTTCATTTGATTTCGAGGATTTTACATGAGTGAGGGTCCTGGATTGCTGAGGCAGGTGCAAAAAATTGGTGCTTAATGATTGTCATAAAGCATCTACAGTACTTAGGGGTGCGGCCCCACCTTAGTAAATGGCTCAAAAATACAGTTGGATCAATGGAATATCTCCACTTAGACCAATGGGATTTATATATTATATATAAATATATATGGATCAACCTCAACCACGAACAATTTCTTGACCAACCCAACAACTGTAGAGTTCATTTGGCATTTTACCCGCGATTTCTGGGTCAATTATTGGCAATACCCTCGCTGAGGTCTGAGCCATAGTGACATGGATCAGTTTCGTTAGACGCAGAGAACCCAAGAAGCTGGGTCATTTGTTTTCGGGTATTGTAAATTAAGCCTAAATTAGCAACCCCCTCGGATGCTTGACGGGTCTTGAGCGGGTTCATTTGAGGAGATTACACCCTCCTATTGGTCAACCAGGATTTATTTCCGGGTGCCCCATCCTATTTTGGAAATGGATTAGAAGACCTAATCCTGCCAACTGATCAATCTGGCTTTATTGAATAATAATCGTTGAATATGATATATATATATAATATAATATAATATAATATATGTATATATATATATACATAACATTGAGGGCCAATGAATAAACATTGCAGAAATCCGATTCTTTGCAGCTTCTTAATCAACGTCATTAATCCGGGGTTGCCATGAATTTTGCGTACACCACATGACCATGACCAATTGAAGATCGCTCTACTGTACTCCTCAAGCACTTTCGCTGAACCAAGTCCAGTCCCCGTCAAAATTGCAAGAGGCTCAGGCAACCAGCTCAAAATTGCCCTTACATTCACCGTCATGACATACAAGATGTTTCCCATGATTAAACCATTACCATCATTAAACCATGATATTCCTATGAATCATATTCCCAGGTGAGTTAGTGAACCATCTACATAGTAACACCCGAAATATCGAAAAGGCTCACATGGTTCATGAAGCAACCCCACTTGGGGGTGCATCCAAACTTAGTAAATGGGTCAAGTAGAGAAAAAATGTTAGATTAATGGAATATCCCCACTTACATAGATGAAGAATATGGGTAGATTAATGGATTATAAAGCACTAACTATAGGTGAAATATCCCTGGTTTTAGTGGAATTTATGTAGCCTTGATCCACTTCTAACTAGGGTGAACCAATCTAACTTAGGATTCATGGCTAGTTCGCCACCATTCGTACGCACGTACGCTGGATGATCATCCCAGCAATAATACATGAACCATGAAATTCATAGCCCTTATCAACCATGAATAATATCCTTAATAGCAATCATTATTTTTTGTAGCCATTAACCTAACTTGATAAGTAACTGGGACATACCTGAATCATACTATCTAATTAGTAGCTGATTAGTAGCCATTACCTAACCATTTAACCATTCATAATAGCTATCATTGATTGGATGCACATCGCAGTCCCAGTTGGTCTCCACACCGGCGATGTCCCTCGCTTTGTCTTTCCAACTGCCTGGAGATGTAGTTTTGGAGTCACAGGGCAACGTGAAAAAACGTGGTTAATGAAGAAACGTTTAGTGATCTAATAAAATATGATTTACAGATTTAAATTTTGATATGATTTAATGATTTAATATGATCTAAGGGTTTTAATATGATTTAACGATTTAACATGATTTCACCATCCAAAAAAATGAGAAACAAGACTGTTGGTGATTATCATTGGTATGTGATAAGCGGTAAGGAGATCATGACTTCAGCCAAGAAACATAGGAAATTAACATGATTTAGCGCTTTCAAGAATACTGAATTTAACCATCCATTGGATTCAGCAATTGGATAACCCCTGAAGATAAAGTTGCTGAGTGTGGTATGGTGATATGGCATACTCCTTCATTTTATGGCTAGACAATGCAGCCATGAACAGGTTCGGTTCACCACCTAAAGTCTGATGACGTTTAACCCAAAAAGACTTACCGCATCGACTAAGATAGATGTGGAAAATCTACGAAAATTGTGAATAATTGTCCTAGAATTCCCAGATCTATGTTAGTTTACTGCATATAAAATCTGTGAAAAAAACTTCTGGATCCCCACATTTTGAGCCACAGTCCAGGGCTCAAAGGTCCAGGGCCCTCCAGAGCCCCCTGCTCAGCAACTCCGAGGTTTGCGAAGACAAACCTCAATGACGGAGGTCCGCCTATGCAAAATTTACCCTCTGGCAAAGCAACATGGCTATGGAAAATTGCCATTTCTAGTGGATTTACCTGTAAAGAAAAAAAAACTATCTTGGTTTACAAAAAGGGTACGTACATATACTGTACATGAACATTATGTATATATATATATATGTTTTGTCTTTTCAGCTGGATACCATACATCACCATCCAAGGTTGAAACCACATTTTTTGTTGGTGATTCCAATGGAAAATTATGATAATTATGATCGACTTTTCAGGCCCCATGAAAGTAAATCTTTGTTGACATATATAAATCCCATGAATTCTGCAGCTAAATCCCCACTTTTTCATCTGCATCCTAGCTAGGAGCCATTTTAACTTATATCTATATATGTATAATTCAGTAACCCATCACTCTCAAGTGGTTTATAACCCGTATCTATATAGTCTAAATATAAATAACCAAATAATCTATTTGTTTTAACAAAAATATGGTTCTTTCCCCACCAACCGAAGCACCTCACAGCGCGGTTTTCGCAACCCAGACACTCTTCATCCTGTCTCCAAACTGTTCCATCTTTTCAGAACCAGCAGCCTCGGTTCTACCGCCAAAAAAAAAGCAATGTTTTTCACATCAAAAAACATGACGATGTTTCACTAAAAAGGGAAAAATCAACAATATAGAATATAGATCCAACTTAGAAATAGAATAGTTAGTCAAACTAAACATGCAAATAAAGATCATGTGATTCATTTTTGGGGTAAATGTTGGTAACTATTCCGAATATTCCATACAAGAAATAGAAATCTAATATAGTTGGCGTTTCATGAAATGATAATTATAGTATATAAACATAAACATCTACTCGACTCACAAATTGGCAATCGTCACCACCTAAGTCTGACTCATACCCGACGGGATTTCACAAGCAAATTCTATCAAAAATACAGCACATCTATCATGTGGTTGGGAAAATGAATAACCATATCTCCTTAAATCCCTCCGAACCTCAGAGATGCCATCAAAATTCAGGAACACCCAGTGTGTTGTGTGTATCTCAAAAAATCACCTGCTGAGCCCAGCGACGCTTTTTTCTCGCATGCGGTCGGAAGACTTCTGAACCTCTTTTTGATCAGGTCATATCCATACCGGGATAAAAAACGGGAGCCGAATACAAGAGGTAAATATAGGATTTAACTTAACAACTAAAAATTGGGAAAATGGAGCTTTAACCAACAACAAATGGGATTGCGGGATTGTATACTTGGCGGTTCACCGCAATCGTAAGTGGCTCGGGAAAGTACACATAGGCTCCATGGTGATGGTATATTGCAGCACCATTTGGTTTAGCGGGGATACTATGTGTATGTATACGTGTACAAGAATAGCATTACCTGTCCTTACCTTTAAAATCCTTTTCATATCAATTAATAATAACCACATTCCCTGGTAAAGAAAAGGTACCCCCCATATCGATCACCAAAATAAATAGATCCAAGACCAAACCAGTTTTGAAAAAGTGGAGGGTATTGATAGATGTTTCGCAAAATTACCTAAACATAAGCAAAAATACATGGGTATCGGTACTATCATCCTTGAAAGCTAGAACAAGTTCAAGGCACAGTAGAAGATACCAACAAATTTGCTACCTATTTATGCACGCAGGTCAGCCCTGGCAACTTGTTTTGAACCACAAAGCGGCTATGCCGTCTCGATTTGGCGTGTCATCCTGTGCAGGTGGCTGTGCTAATCTTCTCTGACTTTCTCAGCAAGACTGAAACCTACACAACTGAACATGCTGTTTCACGTTTCAAATTGGAGTGTCTGACATCCATGCACTCCTCCCAGGATTGACATGTTCATGCAATCCTGCTTTCTGGAAAATTTTGAGCTCTCTAGGCCCAAGCCGCTAAGCACACCTTTGGCATGCGTCATATCCGATCAGCTCTCCCACAACCTTAGGGCACTTCTTCTTCGTATGGACTAACTGGTTCTTATCCATCATCATCACGTCAGCCACCAAGTAGGTGTCGCCACATTCACCACAAAGCGGCTTTCTTCCTTTCCAAGACTGTGCCAACGTCGGGCATCCACTGCTTCTATGGAATCTCCTCCCATTTGGTGTGATGATTGGCCCCACCAGGTTCGGCTTCTCTGCACTATCTGGACGCGCAGACCGAGCTCCCTCTCCTTGGTTAGGCTTTGCACCACTCGGACCCGCAGACTGGGCTCCCTCTCCTCCAGGGTTCCCACAGCGCCATCCAGGAGTGGGCACTGCTCCGCTCGGACCCGCAGACTGGGCTCCCTCTCCTCCAGGGTTCCCACAGCGTCGTCCAGGACGAGCAGACTGGGCTCCCTCTCCTCCAGGGTTCCCACAGCTCCGTCCTTGAGCGGGCATAGGAGGCACTGTCTGTGCTCCCTTTTTGTCATGTCGTTCCTCCGTGCCTTTCTCGGTTGTGTGACTGTCGCTTCTGGTAGCGGAGCTTCCTCCTTCCTGTCTTTTTTCATTGGAACCTTTATTTTCAGCTTTTCTCATCCTCAGAGTCGCCACTTTCACGGTGGTCTGTTCTCCTTCTTCACAACTTATCTCTTCTTCTTCTTCGCGTACATGAAGTTGGTGACGTTCTCGATCGCGCATGAAGCCGCGAAAGTCGCGCGTAAGGCCGCGAGAGTCGCGCATAAGGCCGCGAGAGTCGCGCATAAGGGCGCGAGAGTCGCGCGTAAGGGCGCGAGCTTGGCATTCCTCGTGATCTCTCTTCTCATGAAAGATCTTCCACATTCTTTCTACCAACTTGTACAAAACCACTCCAAGGATCATCATCAACAAGCCAAATGCCGCCAAAACTTCTGATCCTTCTTCCGTCTCACTCTTGTCCATGGCATATACTCTTTCTACCTTCTGAAGTACCGCCATGAGGGTGGCGATCTTTACCACCTTTTCCATATCTCCTGCAAAGACCTTCTTGGATACCGTCACAGCTGGTTCTCTGTCCTGTTCCTCTGCCAATTTTTCTTCCTCTTTCTCAATCCTTTCTTCCTTCGCTCTGGAGAAAGCTACTACATCTGGTAGCCATTCCAGATTCATCTTCTTTGACAGATCCTTCGTTTTGTTGGCACCAAGAAGCTTTGTACCCATGTCTGCGACGAGCTCTGTGCCCCGTCGATGGTGCATCTTCCAGTCTCCAGCTTCCACCCTCCATTTGAGGTGTGTCGCACGTACTTTCAAATGCCGTGTGCGCCAAGCTCCTGTCCGCGTGGTGGACAAAGCCACGGCTGCCATGTTGTCACATACCAGCTGCTTATCCACTCTTCCTTCCAACTCCTCCACTATGCATGCTAAAGAGTCTCCAACTATGACTCCCTCGATGGCTTCTACCAGCTCAGTCTCTGCGGTAGACAAACAGGGGAAAGGCTGTTTTGAGGACCTCCACATCACTGGCGTACCTCCCATGCTTGCTACCACTGAGCCATGCGACAAACCACCACCTGGTGCAAAACTGGCATCTGTTGCCACTTCCAGGACATTCCCTCCCTTCTTCCTGAAGTACAGTCCCATACCCCAGGTTCTGTTGAGGTACTTCATGGTGTGTGCAGCTGCTCCTGCACACCATTTTGGAGACCTGGTTGCATTTGAACAGATACGGCTGGTAGTGTAAGCTAGGTCGGGTCGGGTCTTTCCGGCCAACCACAGCAGTTCTCCGGCCAGTTTTTGGGCCAGTTGGATCTCCTCTCTTGTCCTATCTAGCTCCTCCTCCGGCTCGAAGTTGTCTTTCAAAGGGGATGCCGCAAACTCCTTGCAGTTGTGGCGCTTCAGCACTTCTTTCACAAAGGACTGCTGTCCCGCAAAGTAATCCCCTTCGTTGTTCTTGTAGATCTCGATCCCGCAGAACCGAACTGGCTCTGTTTCAGTGACCCATTGAGGTTTGGTCACTTCCCATGTCTTCTGTATCTTTTCCACCACCATGTTGGTGATCTCCGGGTTCGACATGACCAACATGTCGTCCACGTAAATCAAAACCAATCCTTGCACTCCACCTTCATCTCTAAGGCTGGTATCCTTGATCAGCCAAAGGTTTTCTTCTGCAAAACTCGGCAGCAACTTCAACGTCCTGCCTCCTTGTTGTATTTCCATGCCATGTAGGGTTCCATCCCTGTGATCACTCCACAGGCGAGGCGACTCTCTCAGTCCATAGAGGGCACGTTCCACTAGCCAAAGCTCTCCAACTTCGATCAGACCTAGTCTTTCCAGAACCCGCAGTGGTTGCATCAACACAATGCGGCCTCTGTCTCTTGTTGGGTCTTCTCTTGGTTGTGGTTTCTCATGCACGTCCCCCAGCTGCGCGTTCAAAAACGCTGCAACCACATCTAAACCTGCAATGTCCCACCCATAGCGTGCTGCCATGGACAGTGCAAGTCGCAGGCAGATTGTGTCTGCCCCTCCTGCATAGTAGTTGGCATGTTCCTCCTTGGTTTCTTTTTTGTCTCCTCCTTGAAGGTGATTCCCACACACCACCAGGCGGCATTTCTTCTTACCATCTGGTGCTTTTATCGTGTGTACTGCTTTTCCTGGCACCACCTCCAACTTGTCTGCATGCTCTCTCTTGTAGTACGCAGCTTCCTCTTTGGTCAGCCTCTTGACTGCTCCTTTCTGCACCAAATTGTTAATCTCCTTTCTGATAGCTCCAACCCACTCATCTTTGTTTTGATACACTTCCTGGTTGGAAACTACCCTGGTCTGTAGCACTTCTTCTTCAAGTCGGCCTTCTTGCAGTGCCGCCATTTCCTTTCTGATGGCAATCATCCCTTTCATCACTGCCGGAATGACCTCTTCGTCTTCATTGTACATCGCTTCATCCTGCTCCAAAACTGCCTGGAACAGCTTGATACTTTCTGCAAATTCTTCTTCTGGAATCCTCAAAGAAGCGACTGACATCTTTTTCCTCAGTCTTCTTCGCGCTTCCATAGGGTCCCTTTCTTGAATCACTTCTTCTAACTCCAACTTCTTTTCTTCTTCCTGCGGCTCTTTGCAGTCCTGGATCAGGCAGCTCACCACCTTGAAACTTCCATCTTCTTCCATAACCGCATGTCCTTTTGAAACTTCTGGGATTGGAGTCAGGTAAGTGACTTCCTGTGCTGTCGTTTCAAACTCATCTCCTCTTTTCCATTTCCGCTTTCTTGTCACTATCTTCTGTCCAAACCTTGGCAGTTTGTCCTCAATCCTTTCAAACCTTCTTCTCTCCAGCTCTACCACATGTCGTGCTGCAATCGGCCACCACTTCGTCTCCATGCCAGAGGAGTGCAAGAGACGTCGCACCCTTCCCTTGATAGAAGCTATTGCAGCTTCTGCTCTTCCATTTTGTTGGTGTTCTTCTGGGGTGGACGATGTCCTCACAATTCCTCGGTTCAAGCACCATCCCTTCAAGTGCTTGTTGACAAAGGTTGTTTCATAGTCCGTGTGCAGGCGTACGACTGGGTAGCCATACCTTCTGAGCTTCACCACCAATTCTTGGACTCCTGACAAAACATCCAGCGCATGCTTTGAGGCTAATGGCACACATGTCATCAGCTTCAGCATTCCTTTTGTCTTCAACTTTTCTTCCAGCCTTCCTTCTTCAGTCTTCTCCTCAGCACTTTCTGCATCCTCAGGAGGCTTCTCTTCCTCCCCTTTCCTTTTCGATGCTGGTCTTGAAGGTAAACCCTCTGCTTGAGCCTCCTTCTTGGGTGGCGAGGAAGAAGACGCTGACGCCTCCCTTTGCTCTGCCTCTTCATCTTCCAAAACCGGAAGCATTTCATCATCTTCAGCAGTCTCCTCATCCAACATCCCCAAGCTTTCATCAGAGTCCTTACCTTCCACTGGCCACGTGTAGGAGCCGACCAAAAGGTATTTCTTCTCTTCACCATCCACGTCCTGACCCCACTTCAATGGGCCACAAATGTCAACAGCTAAACAATGCGCTTCTGGATCATCATGTCTTCTATGCGGCCTTTGTCTCGCTGCTGACCTCTGGCAAACCACGCAATCGCGCCGAAACGGCACATGTCCATTGTCAACGTGGGCAGTCCACGACAACTTCTTCAGTCGAACTTCTTTTCCTTCTACTTCCTCTATCAAAAGCCTTGCAACTTCATGCATCATCCCAGGAGCCCACCTCGAGAGCTTACTGGAATCCAGTTCTGGACCTTGTTCTCTGCTCCTCCCACCATGTACTAGTGGGTCTGGTGGTTGAAACCCAAGGTTTGTTCCGCATGTTGTTGGCTTTCTCGCTTCACCTCCAAAATCTCCTTGGTAAAACATCACTTCTTCCATCTGGTAGTAGTGCTTGAACAGCAACCATGTTCGATTTCTCCACCACGAAGCGCATTCTGGACACCACTCCGGTGCTGCTGGCTGCTCCAACAGAAATCCAACCTTGGCCTTCAAACACTTCTTGCTTCTTTCTTTCACCATTGCATCTCTCGCTATCTGTGCAACCATGTACAGGGTCAGCATCCTCAGCATCAATGCATCGTCCTGCAACAACTTTCCTTGTTCATCAGGGGGAGCATCTGGAAGTCCCCAAGGGTATCCCGCCGTCCTCGATGGTCCTGGGAAGCCTTCTCTTGGTGTGTGTCGCAGCACTGAACGTGTGCGGCAATTTGGGCCACCAACCACTGCATCAATGGCTCCTAGCATTGCCAGCTTGAGGAGGGTACTGTACATCCCTCCAATTCTCAACATGTCATGATGTGCTCCTCTCTTCACGTCTATTTCGATCAACCTCGTGCCATCACCTCCCTTCTCCAAGTAGGCTCTCTTCAGAGTCAGGCCTTCTTCTGGCCCGGCGTACAAATGTACAGTGACCCCTTGTTCAATCCATCGTCTCCTGGTTCTTCTGTTGGCCTTCAAAAGCGAAAGGTCTTCGGCCGGCACTTCCACTAGGTTGTCCTTGACAAGTGAGGGTATTGAGGCCAGTACTGGATGTTTCTCTACCAACTCAGCCATCCATTCTGCGCCCCAACATGCATCATCATATGCCACTTTTTTCATGCTTCGAAGCGACATCATTCCTTCAAGTTCATCCACCATCTTTTCCGCTTCTGCCTGGGTGATCTGTGGACATCCTTCTTCGACCTCCACTGCTATCTGTCCCCTGATGGGGTGGAAAAGAAAGCATTCATCATCTTTCCACTCAAAGCTGCATCCCAGTTCTCGTACTAGACGACCAACTGGTAGTATCGGTTCCATCCCTGGTTCTTCATGTACCAGGGTTCCTCCATCCGTCATCCACATTGTCTTTGAACCTCCAGCTGCAAGGTTCACTCTCACTTTCTTGTACTCTTTGCCCTCAACCAGGTTCTCATCACTCCTCTTGGACCTCAGAGCGTGAGTGGCTCCAGTATCCAGCAACGCTTTCTTGCCGAACTTGACTCGGGCAACCATGGCAGTCTTCATCATATTGATTCTAGGCTTCCACGATCCGTCCTGAATCTGTTGCAACTCCTTCTGTAGCTCCAGCATCCGTCCTTTGGTCATTTCTTCCCTGGTCTTTGTAGGCTTTTCTTCAACTCCCATGCTCTTCAGCATCTTCGAAGCTTCTTCCATGACGCTTCGCAGAGAGTCTCCTCCAACACTAGCAACTTCTTCTTTGGTGGTCTCAGCCTCCTTTGTTGCCACTGCTGGGGCCTCAGCAGGGGCAGGGCTCTTATTGGCGGTTTTGTTGGGGGCCTCAGCCTCCTTTTCCACTTTCTGCACCTTTGGGTCTTTTTGAATGTCCTTGCGTGGACACTCCCTCGCAAAATGCTTGGTGGATCCGCACACATAGCACCTTTTCTCCCCTGGCTCTACATTGTGTCCCCAAGTGCAAGCTGCACCACGTCTGCAACCATCCTCCTGATGAAAGAACTTGCATTCCTTCACATTCTTTTTCACATTCTTGTCCTCTGTGCTCCCACTGCTTGCGGCGTTCAACTGCTTCACCTGGCTGGTTGTAGCTGTCGCTCTTTCTGCATTAGCCACCTTTGACCTTTTCTCCAAGTGGACCAGTTGCTCCAGTTCCGACAGTAGGTGTTCAGAGTACGTCCTCACAGTTTGATGGTTTGGAATTGTATCCAATTGGAGTGTGTTTCTGACAAGTGAGGTTCTGAAAGCTAGTTCTGGGTTGTTGTTCAGCAGCTTCTTCATCAACTTTGTCAGACCACGCAAAAGTATAGTGGAATCGGGTAAGCATAACCCGACATCCTGAGCTCTTCTCAACCATCGCAACCACTTCCGAAGACTTTGGACTCCAGTCACTGCGTTTCCTGCTTCGCCAGGATCCTCCAACTGACGCAGAATCACAGTTCGTTCATGTAGTCCACCAGGCTGGTAGATGGTCATCAACTTGGCAATCACCTTCACTGGAGAAAGTGACTTGGTAGCAACAAGCTCTTCTCTCACTCCAGTGGGTATGGCATCCATGAGCATGGAAACAGCTCGGCGTTCCACTCGAACCCACTTCGTCTTCTTCAGTTCTTCAGAGGCCTCGATCTCAAAGCTTGTTCTTTGAAGTGGTCGGAGCTTCACATACTCAGAGTACCATGCGCTGCATTCATCCAGCACAAGTCGCCACCAAACATGCGAACTGTCTGACAGATCCGTCATCACCGGCTCTATCATGGTCAACCAGTCGGCATAGTCAATGGGGGCCGTTTCGGTCGGCTCCTGGAGGGTCTGCAACTTGTTCACTCCAGGTTTGACCGCTTCCATCTTTTCTCCATCATCTTTACCTTGCTGACTTTCCAGAAGGTGCAACATCATCTTAGACAGGACATCAACCTGCCTTTGCATTCTTCCATCATCAGCTGGCTCCAACGCATTTCCTTGGTTCTTCCTGGCATCTCCTCCGGTCCCTTTCTCACCTGCTTCCTTCTTTGGAACATCTCTTTCTTTCTGTCGTGCTCCTTCTGAAGGTTGATGAGATTCCCAAGGTCCTCGAAGGTCTCGTCCAGGAGGTGGCTTCTTCACTGAACCCACCGCAGCATCCATCACCTTTTGCAATTCATCATATTGCTCCATCGGTGTCAACTCGTACAGCCTTCTCCTCTCGGATTCCAAGTCATTCTCTGTCTTCACAACCCGGTCTTCAGCTGCACGGCTTCCTTGCTGTTGGCTTTCAGGAGTCTGAAACCCTTCCACTTCAGGCTTAGCCTTTCTTCCTCCTTCGCCATTTGGCACCTCTACCTCAGAGGTCTTTCTTTCTTCCTTCTCCCTCAGCTTTTCTTTCAGCAACTCCTGTTCCATCTTCAGCTGCATGTTCTCTTGCTGCAACATGAAGAAGTACTGCATCATCTGCTGCTGATAAATCACTGAGGGCGTACCAGCAGGCATCGCTGCAGGTCTTTCTGCAGGTAGAAACTTCGGTCTTTCCAACTGCACATCTTCCAAAGCTAAACCTGAAGACCTGGCTTCATCCTCTATTCCTAGCTGCGTCCTCTGTGGACTTCCATACAACAGAGGTGCTCTGTTGTGCAGTTCTTCAAACTGCCTCACTTGTTCTTCGGTGAACAGCGGCTCTAGCTCTTTTTTGGGTTCTTCATTCTCTACATCTTTCTTTTCATCTTCAAGTTCCAACATTTGAGGGTTTTGAGGTCCATAACTCACAGGTCTCCCAGTTGGCCCAAGCATCTCCTCTTCTGGCCTTTCTTCGCCTGATCGGTCAGCTTCAGGACTTCCACTGGCTCTCCTGCGCATCATCATGGCTCCTCAGCAGCGGCTAACGACAGGTTGGGCTCATAACCTGCACGCAGGTCAGCCCTGGCAACTTGTTTTGAACCACAAAGCGGCTATGCCGTCTCGATTTGGCGTGTCATCCTGTGCAGGTGGCTGTGCTAATCTTCTCTGACTTTCTCAGCAAGACTGAAACCTACACAACTGAACATGCTGTTTCACGTTTCAAATTGGAGTGTCTGACATCCATGCAATTTACCATGATATCAAGATTATTGGTACAATCTGCTCAAGGATGAACATGTATGTATGTATGTATGTATGTATGTATGTATGTATGTATGTATGTATGTATGTATGTATGTATGTATGTATGTATGTATGTATGTATGTATGTATGTATGTATGTATGTATGTATGTATGTATGTATGTATGTATGTATGTATGTATGTATGTATGTATGTATGT